CAGCTAATTTTTTGTATTTTTAGTAGAGACGGGGTTTCACCATGTTGACCAGGATGGTCTCGATCTCTTGACCTCGTGATCCACCCGCCTCGGCCTCCCAAAGTGCTGGGATTACAGGCTTGAGCCACCGCGCCCGGCCTGAAGAGCTATTCTCCTGGCTATAGTTGCAGGCTGTGGTTGGACTTACTAGCTATGTAGTAACCAGGGCAATTACGTGCTTTATATCACTGCAAGACAAAATTAGTGACATGTATTTGGATTCCCTGGATGTGTCTTAACAATGAATTTCAAAATTGTATGCCTTCTATTTACTTTAGCTATCTATCCATAAAATTATTTTCTTTAAATGCTAAAGGAAAAATTTAAAGTAAAATGATTTATTTCATTTTAGTATCTTCCAAATTACAAGGCAATTATTTTCACAGTTCATATTGCTATTATTATACTTTCACGTGAATGGAATCTCCATTTTCCCCTTCTCTTTCAATTGGGCAAGAGAAGTCATTTCAGAATTAGAAAAGATTGTGCTAAATGCCAACTTTATTATAGTTTCTATGCATGCTGAAAATATAATTATTTTATGTTAAACTTTGGAAGAGGTCCAGTAGACATACATGCTTTATAAACTTAAACAACCTTTAAAGAATTAGCATGCTTAGATCATGAACTGTGATCTAAAGGCAGTGTTCTTTTAGGTATCAATTACTTTGGAAATGTGTGGTTATCTTGGTTTGGGACGACTGCAAATGGTTTTAGTTCAACTTTGCCTTGGGCCAAAAACATGCTAAGTTGTCCAAAGCAGACGATAAACATGTATTTCTGATGTCATCATTGCCCAAACAGGATATGGTTGTTTAGTGGCATGGTTTCACTTATGATGCATTACACAAAGAGCAAATATTGTTTATGCTTTATTTTCTAAGTATTTTTATGTTATAAAAATGGGCACTGAGAAAAATTCATTAAGGAATAAAGCATAATACATAAAGCATTAGTAAAACTGAACAGGTAACTTTTCAATTTTGATGGGAAAAATCTTGGTTAGCCAAACCTGTTGCCTAGAAGGGCATTCCACAATCAAGAAGAGAAGAAATGAACATTTTGTAGCTCTGTAATAGCAGGCTACTGTAGACCTAGAAAAATGGGGGTCAGCAGGTTACTAAAGTCAATAAAATATCTGGAGATGCAGGGTAGAAAAAGCTTGGGCACTTATGCAGTCTGTACACTTCTTCTGTATAGTTATGTATTCCATAGTGGTATCCAGGATAATAAAATACCAGAAGTTGATAAAAATATTTACAATGAAAGTCTTCATATATACAATAAACACAAGGCTGGCAACTTCACTAAGCTTTATATCATAACAAAAATCTTCTCTGGCCAATATAACAGAGCAGCTTTTATATTCTACTCATCCAGATAACAGAGTTTAACTGAAGAAATTATTCTGAACTTGTAGACATAACTGTAGACAGTAGATAGTGGAACTGTTCAGAGCATAGGCCTTGCCTGCTTCTAATTTGATAGGTTATAGTTTCAAGAGTAACCACAACTGTGGCAGTTCATATGAAACCACTTTGGACTCAGAGACTGCAATCTCTTGCTTTTAAAGTTTAGTAGAATAATCAGCCCTGGCATCATTCAGTGACTTAATTTTCCTCTAAGCATCACTTATAGTTTCAGAAACTTGGTTTACTACCTTCCCCCCTAGAATGTATGAAAATAATATAGATCTACCAACAGGCTTAATTATAGTTTTCTTCTTTATAGATATAAAAACTCACTTAGTATTCTAGTTGTTTCTCAAAACATTGAGCAAGCATACAAAAAAACAGCCTGGATTCTTTCCTATTGTTTTCAACTGATGTATGCGTGCTTGGCTTTATGTTTTATCCCTAATTTACTTCATTATTATTAATTTATGTGACTTGAAATATGAAATTTCCAAATTTTTACATCCATTTTGCTTTACAAGTCCATCATCATGATAGTTAACTAACTCTTACCCATTTATTTTTCTCTAGCACCAGATTCTAGCACTTGGATATACCTATAGTAGAGATCCATTATCTCAGAACATCCTTTTAAATTATCAAATAAAAATTAAATAATGTTCAGAGTTATTTTAGTATATTTGAGGGACTGAGAAAGAAAAGCAGGGAAATACATACAGCTATAGCTTCCTTCCAACCCCGTCCACCTCCATTCCAAAATAAGGCGTAAGGCAGGTGTGTCAGTGTAGCTAATGTTTCTTTCATTCTGATTTTTTGAGCTAATCATATAATTTGTGGCTGTGTCAACCAAAGACCAAGGCACAGTCACTAAAAGCTTCAAATAGCTTTGGGTTTTCTTATCAGTGAGAAACTGTGATCACTCACAGAAGAACCCTGCCTAAGAACCTGCTTTGCTGCTTGTAGAAGAACCTGTGAAGCTCAAGTTTGTTATTAATCAAGAAAACTATGTAGTCTTGTAAGCCACTAAGTTTGTAAAAAGATGTAAACAATGGATGCTTAAAAAGTTGAGAGAACTCTACCTTCGGACTAATCCTCAAACTGCTAAAAGTAAACAAGAATGCAAGGGTTCGAGCTTACCAGAGAGTACAGCTTTTAAACAGATTGGGGTGCAGAAAATCCCTAGTGACTTTTTATCTTGTGTTTGCATATCAGAGTCTTAATACTGGAATCTAGAGAGAAAGCAGAGTGATTTACGTAACATTTAAGGCAGCTTAAAATTTTTTGATAATAAGCTTTAAATTGAGTAAGATGCCAAGTGGTCATCTGAATTTGCTTAACCTGAAATGAGCTGACCATAAATTTGAAAACATGCAGTTTCTTGCAAAGGCTGAATGATAAGAGAAATCAGGTGTATCATTCAGTTGTGCCCAAGTGTGTCATGGTTATCATTCCTGGGGATTTTGAGTCCCAGGGTTATAGTTTTTAGGGATAAGTGGACTAGAAAACTCATTGAAGAAGAGAGAGGTGGATGCCTGTAGAAGTTGTCCATCTTCTCCTGTTTTTGAAGTCTTTCTACTATTCCCATTTCTACCTATCATGATTCCTTTTAATTATAAGGGAAAGGAAAATAAAATGTCCAGAAAGATACCAGTCCAAAAATATCTTGGATAAGACTTAACATAAAAGAAAAAGGCTAATCCCAGTAAGATAAACATTCACAAATACCAGAAAAGTTTAAAAGGTTGAGTTAAAAACTGAAACTCTTAAAAATGTTAGCATATATGGGATTATGAAATGAAGATAGAATTATATACTATAAAGATGTATATATATGTACATAATAAATACAGACATGTCTATACATTTATGTACGCAAATTCATTTATATGCATATATACACTATGCCCAAATATATATAGAAATAGAAATTTATTTTTTCTAGATTATTTAAGAGGTAAAAGTTAAAGAACAATCAGAGATATACAAACCCAAATACTGGTGGTTACAATATTAATTTCAGAGAAAAGATAATTTAAGGAGAGAAGCTTTAAAATGGAATAAAGGCAATAATTTTATGTTACTAAAAGATACTGCCTATACTTAAAATATAGTAGATGCAAACTGTTAATCATCAAATTCCAGAGCATTGAAAGCATCTGGTAGTGTGGGGAGAGGTCAGAGAAATATATTTGTTATGGAGACTAGAACACACCATCTCAATCCTTAACTGATTAATTCAAGGGGAAAATATTTTAATAAATATCTAAGTTAATCTAATAGATGCATATTTAATGTTTTATGAATGAGCAGCAGTCTTAAAACCTTACCCAGGTAACTTCAAGGACTCCATGGGTCTCTTTAGAGAAAAGAGAAGAGGTTTTTGTGGGGCTCCAGCCTCCACCTGCCCTCACACCTTCAACCAGCACATCTTCAATTTTATGTAATGGCTGTACATATCATCAATGAAGAAAGTGACTCACCATAGCTGTAGTCCCAGCTATTCAGGAGGCTGAGGCATGTGAGCCTAGGAGTTCAAGTCCAATCTGGGCAACATTGCAAGACCCTCTCTGTTGAAAACAGGAAAAATGAACCACTATTCAACCATCCATGAGGAATCAAACTCTTTGCCTCTTTCTCTCAAACCCACCTTCACTCTCAACTGTCTTTCTTACTGTCACTTTCTCTCACACACATACAGTCAGCAAAATCCAGAAATTTATAGGGCATACTACTTTACTAGAATGGAAAGAAAACCTAGAAAGTAATAACAGAAGTTTAACTAACAAACAAAACCAGTTAAGATGGCAAATTAAAAAGGGAAAAAAAATCATAGAGGCAACTAATGAACCGAAAACAAATTTAACAGTACTATCACAGACTATTTGGATAGTAACAATGAGACGAGTCCATATAAAACTAAGCAAGTATAGACAAAGCTTTGTTAAAAGGAAGCAATGTTTTCCCTTTTAAGCCATTCATTATTAAGTTGGAGAAAATGAAAATCAAGCATTCAGCTAAAGCATATAAATATTGTAATAAAATAGAGAAGACAGGACAAATGAAAATACAAA